CCCCAAAACCCCAAAACCCCAAAACCCCTTTAGTAGGATTCAAATTCAAATTTAGGCTAATCAAAAGTCATAAATAATAAATAAATAGAAAAAATCGAAATCCTATTGGCTCGTTTCAAGGTCTACTGGCTATAATTCTTAATTAAGAAATAGTAAATTGCGAAAATAAGTTGTTTGGTAAATTTTTTTAATTAAGCTGTATAATTTATTGTAGAAATTAATCATTTTCAAGGCATCTCATGAGAGGATGAATCATTCCAGTCTTAACTCTTTAACTAATCCATAACTTGATCAGCAATCAGAGAAAATGTTCTCATGAGCTTAGTTATCAGAGAGTTGAACTCGCTCATCAATGGGCTCTGTTTTATTTTTTGACTTTCTTTGATTTGGATTATCTGGCTCTTTACTCAATTTTCTTTGTAATGGCTTTTGATTATAATCTCAAATTTTAGGTTGGTTTCGAGGATTTCTTAGCTTTCTCAATATCAATAGCAGGAGCCATAGAGATGACTCTCTTCGACTTTAGTAATGATGAACTTCCTCTTAGGTTGGATTATCCATTCAAACATTAGTTTTGGGTGATCTTCTAACTTTTGAGCTTTTTGTTCATTTATTTCTGATCTCTCTTTCTTTTCTTTGAACTAGACTCATTCAGAATCACTTCATCTGCCTCGGCATCTCTACGTTCGATGTCGCTCTAATCATCATCAGTGCTTTTAACCTGATTCTTGAATATTTCTTTGAAGAAATTGGGAGAAATTTTCTATAAGAATTTTAAGGTAGTACAATAATTACATTTATAGCCTAGGTAAGTTCTAAAATAGCATTGTCTTATTCTTAATTTGCTTTGATCAACTAGACGTTATCTTTTGAAAGTTTCTCATTCTTAATATTATGCTCAACTAGCAATGCCTTGACCTAGATCATAAGTTAAGATATTTAAAGAAATTAAAAGATGGTTATCTTACTGTTTCGTTTTCAGTAATCACCTCAGATAGCGCTCTTTTTAAAACATTGATATTATCTTAATCTAGAGAAAACTGATGGCGCAATAGCTAATGTTTCTTTAGAAGATCAAGACATCTTTGACAATCATGATCAGATAATTTAGATGGGCTATCATTATCATTAAGCGAGCCCAAGTGGAGATTATTCCTCACAGTAGATCTATTAAGAGTGGGGCTTCGATTATCTGAATTGGTGAGAATTTTTTCTTCCTCATTATTCGAGTCTACAAATTCATTAAGAAAATAAACTTACTGTTCCTACCATTTTAGATTGCTTGTTAATTTTCTAATCTTGGATTTTGTTCATTAAAAGAATAGTTAGCCTATGTTACTTGATTACCCAAATGAATATTAGAGTTCACTGTGCTTTGAGGCAATTATATTTGAATTTGTTGGCGAATTTCACTCCCATTTTGATTATTTTAATCAATTAAAGATGAATTCCCCCCAAATTCCTATTTTCTATCATTTGCACATGGAAAGTAAGCCTCTACTCTATTTTGTTTATAAAACCTCTTAGATTGTCCCAAACCAAATTTAATATTAGTTGCTTTCCCACTTTTCCTTTTGCTTTTACGAGAAAGGCTTGATAAAGATTTTTTGTGAGATGACTTTAGTTTTGCCTCAGAATCAATGTTGATCTAATTATTTGAGTCATTGCTGGGATTATTATCATTGATGATAGTCCTCTGCTGAATATTAGAATTTGAATCATCAATTAAAAAGGTAGTAGTTGGAGCTCTAGTCCTCATTCTAGTATCTATTTATACTGCTTTATTTTCTTCTTCAGACTATCTCAGAATGATAGAGTTTCTAGTAGGTGTGCTGTTTTGATAAGTTTAATTGATCATCAATTTAAAGTTTAAATTATTGATATGAAACAACTTCCTAACAACAAGGAATAAACTATTAACTTTAATAATTGCAATCAATTTTATTAATAAAATACAAAGAAATGATTAGAAATGTCTTGATTATAGGAGTCATTTTCACTGTGATATATGTGAAGATGTTTCTAGGTGTCTACAATAAAGACGAGCTTTCAGAAAAGGTATATACAGGTATCATAACACTATCATTTAGTAAAGTCATTCTTTGAATGAGACTTATATATATCCAGACTTGCTTGGAAAAGGAATCACAGGAAAAGAAATTCTACTTTTGAGCTAATCTATTGATGGGTACATAAAAGATTTGAAAAAAATATAAAACATCACTGTGATAGAGGCGCCTGATATGCTTTTTCAAGAAAAGTAATGCTAGATTGAGGAAATAATCAAATCTTCTTAGAAGAGTATGTTATTTAAAATTGATGTCATTAGAAATTAGGTAGGTCAAAGGATGGATATAATTTGAATAAGCCAATTACATCAGCAAAGTCATTGAAAAACTTGAGAATCAAAGAGAGGAATAGAGATATCTAATTTGTTTAGGATATGAATCAATCTTCTTCACAACAGAACAGTGAGACTTCTTAAATTCAATAATAGAGATTGCTGAACTTACTATTCAACGCAATTGAATATAATGGCCACTCTGGCTCAGAAATATGGGAGTATATCTTTGATAAAATTCTTAAAGTTAATCCCCGAGAAGATGAGTATATTGATGCAAGTAATAGAGATGATATTTTGATTAGCTTGATTAGTGGATTGAAGAGCTCCTTAGATATGAAAATTGCAACAAGTATGGTTGATAACTAGGGGTTTTCTCTTAACTAACTGCAAATATCTGATCATATACATAATCTTGTTGGCTAGTTCCCAGGTAAGAAATTCTATAATTTTCATATCCCTTTTATTAGAAAGAGTCAAAGGTCTTTACCTCTACTATGGATTTCTACTTAAGAAAGTAGCAGACAAAAAAGAATAATTTAAAAATCTAGATGAAAGTTTTAATAGCTAGAGAATATGGAATAGATTAGTTGATGAAATTGAAAATGTACTCAAGTTGAATTCTTAATTCTCAAAAATAAACATAAACCAGGAAGAATCATTAATTGAAATACAAAATGTGCTTAATTGTATCGAGAATCGAGATTGCCATATTTGTAAATTACATTTAATGCTATTCCTCAATTCTCTCAAGAATCTAGATGATTCTGTTGAAAATCTAAAGGTAAAACATTCAATAACTATTACATTGATTCTTAATCACATTATAGATCATATTTAATAGTTTGGTGAGAGTATAAGAAGCTATAGTGAGATATTAAAAGCATTTAGAATTTCAATTTCATTCTAATGACAGCAAGTTTATAATTAAGGTGATCTATATAGGAGGATTGATTATCTCTATTCTGGCCTCACTCTACATCCTAGATTTTTACACCAAGAGACAAATGGAGTTTGATATTAATAAAAGAGATGAGAAAATTAGGAAAATATATGAGGAAAAAGAAAGAAAGCTAAAAGAATAGGATGAAAAGGAAAGAAAAGCAAACAAAAAAGCAAATGGATTAGATAGTTCGGAGGATGAAGATAAATAAGTAATTGGTAACATACTTGATGAATTAAAAGAAAAATAAGATTGATTTAATAATTTACTAAATTCTTGAGAATACTAAATATAATATATCTACGGGGTTTTGGGGTTTTGGGGTTTTGGGG